AAAAGGATTGGAGTACTGCAAACGTGTATTAGGCCAGTTGCTCATGGGGTGAACCCGCCCCCTTGCACCCAAGTTCGAATTCTCCTTCTAGAAGATTAGATTGAATTAGAATAGTTTAGACTATGGCTTGTAAAAAAATTTGATGAAAATATTAACATTTCATTTACATACTTCAACAAATAAAGGGCATGGCCCTAGTGGGTAATGGCCTTGTCCAAACCCAGTATTAGAACAAGCCAACCCAACTCAGAAGAGTTCAATCTGGGCTTTACTTTTGAGCCCAGTCTTGACCCAATACTATTCCTCTCCCATGACCCCCGTTATATTTTTTGTAACAAACAAACCAGTGCAGCCCTCATTGTAGCCGGTAATTCTCTCAAAACTAATCCCTACATATTCTCCTCCATTTCTCAACAAGGAAAGAGCATGTTCATCTTTCAGCTGATCATGCCGGAGAGGTGTTTAGTTAAACAATATTTAGGAGCAAGCTCGATCAATCACCTGTAAATAAGAAGCTCACTAAAGTGGTTAACATCACTCAACATATACCCTCGAATAATTCGATCTTGAAACTTGTTAATTATAACTTAATCATTACTTAGCTAGCTAATCAAATATTCAAATTCAATTATTCAACATGATGAAGTTGATGAAAGTTGTCCCTGTGATAGAAGAAATAACGATTTTAAAGATCTCCAAAAGTTTTACATCTTCAGAATAGTAATTTAACATTGTTCAATTACATCTACAATGAAACAGAGCATTCCCTAATACAAACCTTGTCCAATTATATATCTAATAATACTACAAAAAAATACCCAGACATAAGCACTTTGAGTATATAAAGCAAAACCTTCTCATTTCACTGTATTTGAATTGCAGGCTGTGAAAAGAAATCTTTGGCATTGCGTGCTACCTCTGCTTCAAGTATCGCTTCCAACACAACGTCTGATCCTTCAACATTCTCTGTCATCACAACCATGGGTTATTTATTTGGAAAAATAAATATCAGATGTAAAGCTCAACTACTTGCAAAATCTATTAAGAAAAAGAATGGCATGTTCAACTTATAGGTTGAAACAACTTCTTATATTTGTGTGCTTGTCAAACAAAGGATCTTGCATAAAGATTTTAATGTGCAAATTTTACATGCTATGTAATCAAGGAGAAGGTACAATAAAAGTTCAAGATTATTTCTATGGCATGTGTTTAACCCAACAGCCCACTTATTGTGACCTCGCAATCCCAAATACACCCACCACAACCAACCAAAATCAATTCCATATTGGAGTAATCATACACATTTAGGCCATGAGCATGAGTGACATCTATGTTGGCCAACCATTCAAAGGCATAAGTAAGACAATTACTTATATTATTGAAGATAGGACCACAGGATTTGCAGCACACACCGTGATGACTTCTATTATTGAAGATAATCTGGACAATGTAGAAAAGTATATAGTTTAGAGACGAAAATTTCAAAATTTGTTGTTTCTAAAGATATTAGAAAGGGAATTTCCATTCCAGACTGCTCCCTGTGGTGTGTGTTCAGATTAGAACCACAGGTCATTGATATCATAAATTTGAAGTGTTATAATTCAGAAGACTATTACCCTTGCGATTTGG